ACTTATCACATTAAGAAAGGCTTTCAAATGCAGGAGAATTGGGAAGCCATGCAACAAAATTACTAACCCTAAGAAAAAACTTCTGATTGCTCTTATCTACTGATCTCCTACAGATACTGTGGTTTCTTCCATTTGCTAACTTCTCAAAGTTACTCTTTGGCCACCGATGTCCATACGGCATTGTCAGTCGTACCTGTCTATGAATAAAACAAATAACTAAATAAACAAAGAAAACAAATGTTTTAGAAGCACATACATATTAAATGAAAGTAATTTCGTAGACTTAATTATGCTTCCTCATGCAGCTGTACTTGTATGCTTAGAGAACTAAAATATTCAGCACTTTTTGTGGATGTACATATATTCACTCGTTTTTAGATTTGGTTGAGACAGATTGATGAGCTTCATAAAAAAAAATTGGCAGTACAGCACTAAAGGTTCTAAAGCACAGAAAAGGGCTTTTTTATTCATCAGTAGCGTTATATAAAATTTATGTTCCTTCTGCACTTTGTTTATAATTTAACAAGTTGTAAGTATGTAAAAAAAATCCTATAGTTCCCATATACAAGCATTCCACCACCAAGAAAAAATCAATCAAATCCCTAACTGGAAGTTTCCAAGATGTGCTATAGCCAGATATTACTGAAGAGTAGCCATCAACTGAGATGCTCTAAGTATACAAGGAATGTAGAATACATTAGACTTAAGTGATATAGAGCCAAGAATATAGAATGTAATAAAAAAAGAACAAATAAATATTTCCCACGTGCACGGCAGACTAATCTTGCATTAGGACAAGACCGGAAGGTGAAGCAAAATCTCATCTTTTGAGAAACCCTCAATTCGATTAGTAGATGCGTACAGATCGAATGAAACATCAGAGTAGAACTTCCGGTTTCAATCACAACGCTGCCCAAAAAAATACGATCAGAACCCAATATTCATATATCGATCAATTAATAGAGCGAGAAACAGATTAAAAGGTTGAGACGATCATGTACGAAACGCCGGCAAGCGTACTCGCGCCAAGCAAAGCAGAGCGGCAAGCACAAACAGTTTCCGATCGAAGAAGAACGGTAAGGCAACAGGGGAAGAGGAGGACACAGCCCGATCGGGCCTGTGCGAGAACAGTAACAATCGGAGTCATCGAACCGCACATAGGAAAAGCATTTGCTAAAATTAACGCTGGGGGACGCCGGAATCTTCGGCCCGGGAACCAAAATAACCGGAGACAGAGGAGGACGAGAGGGGAAGACCTGCGATCGAACCCAACAACCGCGACTCTCCCACCGAGAGCCGCGCCTCGCACGGTTTCCTTCTTCCTCCTCCTCCTCCTTCGATGCGCTTCCGATGTTTGGTTCCACGATCGAGAGACGGATCGAGGCGGCAAACGGCAAGCTCTTTTCTCGCTCGCTTGTTATCTGGTGAACGCGAACTCCGACGCCAAGGAGTCGATGAAGAGACAGGGGTTAGGTGGAGAAGATATCACGAATAGCTGCAGCGACAGGGAAAAGCAAGTTCAACGTACCCCGTTCAACCACCTGCATCCTAATTCGACAAGCCACTGGGGTCCCACTGGGAGCCGCAGGGGTACAGTTGGGGAGAAAGGAGATTCTTCTTTGATGCCATTGACGTAAAACAAGTCGCCGTCGTCCTCGGTGAAATCGCCCCGACTCCCGCGATCCTGTGCGGCCCATGAGGCCTTCTGATCGGACGATCCGCTAGCGGATGCGGATCATGTTCGCCAGGGCGGAGTTCCGAGGCTCCATCGTGGTAAAAAGAAGCGCGGTCACTGAATGAGGTCTTTCTGTGCGGACGATCTCGCTAGCGGATGCGGGTCGAATACGCCAGAGCGGAGCTCCGAGGAGCCCTGGACGGTACAAGAGCAGGCAACTCTCCCTTATAGGTGTCTGGTTCCTCGCCACGTCAACCCGCCCGACGCGCGTCGTGATGTAAGTCGTCGTTGAATCGGAAACGAAACGGCTTTCACCTGCGCGTCAGACGTCGCACGTGCGGATCGGTATGGGAAAAATAAGGGTTTGAAAATTTACTAATTCAATAAATCGGCCATTAACGACAAGCAAAAAATAATTGTATTACATAACATGTAAATCAGAATATTTATTTTTTCAAATATTAAGTAAGGAGAATTTGGATTTATGATCTTTTAATTACGTCGCTTCGTTTTAATCATCAAAATATCATGTAATTGTTTATCTACATAATTTTGATTTTTTTATTGGGTGATTAAAAAAATCACTTTTATTTTAATAATTATTTCACGAATTACTTTTTTATTTTTTATAATTATTTAAAAAAAAATATTATTTATCTTCTCAAGATATCAGATTTGTCTGTTAACCAAAATCATATTAAAAACAAAACGTCCACTCGAGACCCAATTGGCAAAGTAGACAAACGAATCTTAATTTGCTAGTGACGAGCAAACGAGAACATGTGCTCTCTTCGTCGTGTCGCTGTTACACACAATTATTCGTGGCTTAAGTCGGGGTGGAGCCCACGCGCTGTTGTCATTATTGCTGTATACAAAGATTTAAATATTATTATAAATCAAATATATTGAATAACGATAAAAATGTTTAAAGTGATCCATCCATATGATAAATATTTCACGACCATACAAACATTCAATCGATTAAAGGGTTTCGAGTCCATATTTATTATTAGGACGCATTGGATAGCGACGATCACTCACCTTTTTCATTGTCACGATAAGAACAGCAGCACTCTGCACTACGGAATCATCCCAAGAAAAGTGGTCTTCGATGACTTCCAACTCCAAATACAATTCAGAACCAGTCTTGTTTGACAAACTATTTCTTCCCCGACTTTTAGAAAAGAATAATTATTTCTAACGTGTCATCCTTTTCTTTTTCCATATTCAATTATATAGAATGCAAGAAAAACTCTTGCTATCATTTAGGTTGGATTATAATTTTTATATTTAATTAAACCGCTCGATATATTCGATACGTTGAATTATTTTTTTTTGTGACTAAATCTCTTGCTAGTTTTGTTGGGATAAAAAAAATCAATGATAAAAATTAGTTCTGATCCAAAATAAATAATAAAATAGAATTTATACATAATCGTTATCGATCATCCGAAGAATGGTTTCATCAACTTTTTCCAACGATAACATCAGACATGCGAGCATAACGACGATAGCAGCATCATATAAGAATCGAGAAAAGAATCTCAGAGGACATAAAGATTTTTTTTAACTAAACAATATATCTTTATTTATATAAAATTGTTGATACGACAATTACTAGTAGCGATAATAATCCAAACGACTATGTATTATAATACCTAATAAATCTAATTAAAGCATAAATAAATAAAAGAAAAATAACAGATACAAAGCAAGAAAACAAGTAAATAAATAAAATAAATCTTGAGGTTTTCATTTTAAAATGAAATCTCTAACAAGTTTTGCACCAAAGGTTTCTTAGGGTGAAGATGTACTACACTAAACTCATTCTTCTTCGTGTTTTCTTGTATTTGATTGATTGGATAGACTCGTCTTTATAGAAAAAAAAAAACTTAACATTTATCCACCAACAAAGATAATTTACAATTTCAATATATTAATCATGGAGTTATCTTCGATTGATGTGTAAATGTCATGTTAAGCTAATTGCTTTCAATGTCATAATCCGCGTAAACACATCATGCGATTTAAAGTAAGAAAAAGTATGGATGTGTGTAAAGTAAGAAAGAAGTGATAGAAGATAAGATTTCCCTAACTATACAAGGAAATCTTTCTATTTTGTTGAGTGAAATCCTTCCTTCTAATATGTATAAATAGGAGAGGGTTATATTAATGTATTTAAGCTTCTTTATTTCTTCAATAAAGTTTCTTCAATAATTATTTTTATTTTATTATTATTATTATTATCGTGGTATCAGAGTAGTGAGAAAAGCGAAGCTTGCGTTCGGTCAAATTCCTAAGAAGCTCCACGGCCAATCCTCATCTTCCTCTGCGATAGTATTCGACTTAAGGGGAACGAAAGGAATGTATCTCTCTATTCTGTTGAGGAAAATCTTTCCTCCTAATATGTAAAAATATGAGAGGGATATATTAATATATTTAAGCTTATTTACTTCTTCAATGAAGCTTCTTATCTTCTATTCTTTCTATCAAGAAGAGAAAGGAACGAGTGAAGAGACACAGATGAAATATCGTGATAAGTGTTGAAGTGTCAATTACAGCATCAATTATGTGGTGGTGTGTAACATCAATCATGATAAACAGAGGTCGTGGTGGTGGGAAATCATAGGCTCGTAACATTGATCGAGTGAGAAATAAGATATAGGGTTTTCTATTGTTCTTTTATACAATGAACCATACTAAGTAGAGTGGGTATGTGTATCGATAACTGATATCGAAATGAACTCATATAGAAAATTAAAATAGGTATCTTTATTGATTAAAAAACAAAAAAAATTAGACAAGTAAGTATAAAAAATAATATAAATATATTAAATTAATAATAATAAAGAAAAACCAGTTCAACCTATGGACATGTCGGGAATCGGGTCGATCCACCATAAAGGAAAACTGTTATGTCATACAAGTTTTGCCATAGATAATATATGCTATGTTATGTATACAACCTTCTTCTAACCATCAGCATATATATCTCTCTCCATAGATATCAGTATAAACTAAATTATCCTACCAAAATTTGAAGGTATGAATTAATATCAGTGTGCTCTAATGAAATAAAATAATTGTTATTTATTCCAAATCAATTAATGGACCGTCCAGATCGTATCTGAGTTATTTTATGGGTTTTTTTGGATGCCAAAAGCAAAATATTTCTCCCTTATTATTTCGCTCGTCGCCGACGCAGACCGCGAGACCGCATGCGACGACGTCGCATACACACGTACCCGCATCTCCACCCCCGTCGGCCCCACCGCCAACGACATCGTAAATAGCTCAGGCCGCTCTCTTTGCATTGGTCCCGCCTCCTCCTTCGTCTTCTTCTTCTTCTTCTTCTACTTCTTCTTCTACCCCAAGGAAAGGCCGAAAGAAATCGCTCGCCCACCTCGACGACGTCCCTTCGATCCGTCGTCGTCGTCGTCCTCCTCCTCCCTGCTGTAGGGTTTCTTCTTCCCGCGATGCCGGCTCGCTCCTCCTCCTCCTTCTGTCGATCCTAAACGAAACCCTAACGTCTTCTCCCTTCTCGATCGGGGGAGAGGGGACGGATGGAGCCCTCCGTCCATCCCGACCTCCACCTGCTCGAGGATTTCGGGCAGCGGGTCGACCTCACCAGGCGCATCCGCGAGATCTTGATCAACTACCCCGAGGGTACTACCGTGCTGAAGGAGCTCATCCAGAACGCGGACGACGCTGGGGCCACCAGGATCTGCTTCTGCCTCGACCGCCGATCCCACGGCGCCGAGTCCCTCCTCTCCCCCAATCTTGCGCAGTGGCAGGGGCCCGCGCTCCTTGCCTACAATGACGCCGTCTTCACGGAGGATGACTTCATCTCCATCTCCAGGATCGGCGACAGCAAGAAGCAATCTCAGACCTGGAAGACCGGCCGCTTTGGGCGAGTTATCCACTTCTTTGTTTTCTTTTTATAGTCCAGTTATTATATTGTAGCGATTGTGAGTTCCTTGGAAGTTTCTTTTGGACCTCACTGATGAATCACATCTTTTACAGGATGTTATCATCTTTCTTGAATTTTGATTATACACGTCTTTAAAATCATAATTTGATGAGGATTTGCAACCAAATGATAAAAAAAAAAAAAAATGCAGCTTGACGTTCAATAGATATCTGGTAGAGGCATACGAAACCAGAAGTGCACTGCGGTGGTAGTTAATAGTTTTATAAGTTTTAACTTTGGAAAGTTGTGGGTAATGTGTTTGGATATTGCCTGGACTACGATTATTGGAGACAAGCACCACTTGAATAAACTAGAATGGAGGAGATCTTCTAACCTTCTAAAATGATTATGAAGGTGCATCTAATCCATCAATTTCATTGCTGAAGTGGTAGCCTGATAATATGCAAAACATTGGCAATTAGAGGTTGCTGCGAATTCTCTCTTATAGGTGGAGCAAACATTAGCAATTTCCTACATCTGTAGCTTTTTCGGTTCCTTTCCTCTTGATTTTATTAGCAAAATCCATATTTCTTATGCTTTTAATATCATCTGATCAGGCAATGCTACCTAATTTCCTTGTAGTCATTGCTAATTTTAAATGGAGTCTTTATTACATTACATATGAAGGAAAGTACTTATAGTTGATGCATTTATAAGTAAATCCCTGTCCTCGCTGATATGGGGCTCTAGCTACCATGTTCTGAATCTTTTCGTGTTGTTTAATTTAGGGTGGGTTTTAACTCGGTGTACCATCTGACTGACTTGCCATCTTTCGTGAGTGACAAATATGTTGTCTTATTTGATCCACAAGGTGAATATCTTCCGAATGTTTCAGCAGCAAATCCTGGAAAGCGTCTTGATTATGTTAGTACTTCAGCCATATCACTGTATAAAGATCAGTTTTTGCCCTATTGTGCATTTGGATGTGACATGAAAAAGCCTTTTCCTGGAACTCTATTTCGCTTCCCTTTGAGGAATGCAGACCAGGTAGCTGCTAGTAGGCTCTCTCGGCAAGCATACTTGGAAGATGATATTTCTGTCATGTTTTTGCAACTTTACAAGGAAGCTGTTTTCTCTCTTCTTTTTCTCAAAAACATCATTGCAATTGAAATGTACGAATGGGAAGCCGGTCTAGATGAACCACGAAAATTGCACTCTTGCTCTCTCAGTTCACCAGATGAAACTATATCTTGGCATCGCAAGGCGCTTGTTAGATTTTCCAGATGTGCTGATTCTTCTAATATGCAGATAGATTCATTTTCATTGGATTTTCTTAGTGAGTCATTTTCTGGTACATATTCAGAAAAGAAGAGTGCTACCTTTTTCATCGTACAGGCAATGGCATCACCATCAAGCAGAATCGGAACTTTTGCAACTGCTGCTGCGAAAGAATATGATCTGCACCTGTTGCCTTGGGCGTCTGTTGCAGCTTGTATATCTGATGACTCGCCTGAGGTAGGTTGTATGCTCTTCTAAATATCTTCTCTGTCACAAAAGTACTATAGGAATTTTTTTCTGATGCTATGTGGCCTTATTAGTTGGGGATCTTATGTTCACTAGATTTGTACCATCATAAATGTATACTTGAGTAAATAAGATATCATTAGTTCTGAGAGGGTTTTCGGTTTCATATTCTCAGTGGTAGTAAGCAAGCTTTTCTTGGATTAAGTGGCTTCAAACTTATGGTTTTCTCTGCATAAAAGCTGTCCCTAACATCATTAGTCGACAGCATAAGACTGTACCTACCTGCTTACTGCAAGAAATTTTCTGCCGTGGAATCTGTCTGTGAAACTATATTTTTGGTCAGGATCTCGTGTTGTTGAGTTGAATGACCATAACTATAAGTTACTGCATAATCTGCATTGTTAGCTGGTACTTACATTGCTTGAGTATACAAGCATGTTCATTGGAATTTATGGTAATGTTTACTTTATACCATGGTTCAGAATACCTCTCTGACCTGGTGTTTAATAATTGGTGTGTGGTATACCACCTTTTAAACTATTTTTAGAGTGATACTGTGTGGTACAGGTCAGTGTACCGCTGAGTTTCTCAGTGTCATGTCAATCCGGCGGGTTGTCAAGACTGATATCAGGCCGGTATTTAAAACTTTGTTTTATATTTAAAACCTTGCTTTATATGTTAAGAATTCCCAATATGAGTTAATAGATCACATATCTTACTTTGTTCTGAATCGTAATTTACAGAATAGTCTTCTTAGACAAGGACAAGCATTTTGTTCTCTTCCACTGCCAGTGTCTACGGGATTGTCTGTGCAAGTGAATGGTTTCTTTGAAGTTTCTTCAAATCGACGCAGCATATGGTATGGATCAGACATGGATAAGGGTGGAAAACTTCGCTCTGATTGGAACAGATTTTTATTAGAAGATGTGGTGGCCCCGGTTTTTAATGAGTTACTGCTTTGTTTGCGGAAGCTTGTTGGTCCAACTAAAGTATATTTTTCTTTGTGGCCATCTGGTTCATATGAGGAGCCTTGGAATATTTTAGTTGAACATATCTACAAAATTCTTTGTTCGTCTCCAGTGTTTTATTCAGAATTTGAAGGAGGAAGGTGGATATCATTGGGTGAAGCATTTGCTCATGATGAAAAGTTCTTTCAGAGTAAAGAGCTTGGCGAGGCTCTTGTCTTGTTGGGTATGCCTGTTGTCCATCTTCCTGATGTACTAGTGCATAAATTGTTTCAGTTTTACCACAGTTTTCAGGACAGAATTGTGAGTCCTGTGACAGTAAGGCATTTTCTTAAGAAATGTGTAACATTGGCTATGTTAAGCAGAACTTATAGGTTAATTTTATTAGAGTACTGTATTAGTGATTTAGATGATGCTGATGTTGGTAAATATGCAAATGGTCTTGCATTGCTGCCCTTGGCAAATGGAGAATTTGGAGTTATCCATGAGGCCTCCAAGGGGGCTTCATATTTTGTTTGCAACGATTTGGAGTACAAGGTGCTGACCTTAGCTCCAGATAAAATAATTGATAAAAGCATTGCTCCTGACTTATATAGAAGACTTTCCAAAATTGCTAATAGTTCTAAGACAAATATTAGGTTTCTTGATGACCAGAGTCTCTTGGAGTTCTTTCCAAGGTTATTCCCTGCAGGTTGGAAATACAAAAACAGAGTTTCCTGGAATCCAGAGTTGGGTACTACATTTCCTACAGATGATTGGTTTGTACTTTTCTGGCAGTACCTGCGAGATCAACCTTATAGCTTGTCTTTATTAAGTGAGTGGCCCATATTGCCATCTACTTCAGGATACCTCTATCGTGCTTTGAAATTCTCAAAGCTGGTGAATGCAGAGTTGTTATCTGATAGAATGAAAGAGCTCCTTGCCAAGATTGGTTGTAAGTTATTGGATACCAAGTATGGCATTGAGCATCAAGAATTATCTCTTTACGTTAATGATGGTAGTGCTGCTGGTATTCTGAATTCAATTTTTGAAGTACTTTCTTCGAACAATTACCAATTGCAGATGCTTTTTGAAGGCTTTTCTTTTCATGAGAAAAATGAACTCTGCCAGTTTCTTCTTGACCCTAAATGGTACTATGCAGGTTCTCTGTCTGACCTACACATAAAGAATTGCAAAAAGTTGCCTATTTTTCAAGTTTATTCCAGAGATCAGACCACCATACAATTTTCTGATTTAGAGAGTTCGAAAAAGTACTTACCACCCAAGGGCATTCCTAAGTGCTTATTGGATGGCGAGTTCATTTTCTGTATCTCTGAATATGATGAAGATATTTTATTGAGATTTTATGGTATTGAGCAGATGAAGAAGACAGTATACTACAAACAGAATGTTTTTAACAGAATCGACGAATTACAACCAGATGTTCGTGATATGGTCATGCTATCAGTTCTGCAGGATCTGCCTCAGTTGTGCTTAGAAGATTCATTGTTTAGGGAGTCATTGAAGAAGCTTAAATTTGTAGTTACCATCAATGGGAGCTTAAAGAGTCCACAATCCCTTTATGATCCTCGAGTGGGGGAACTGTTTGCACTTCTGGAAGAATCTGATTGCTTTCCTTGTGGCCCATATAGTGAATCAAGTGTTCTGGACATGTTGCTTCTTTTGGGGCTTAGAACATCTGTATCTACTGATGCAATTTTACAGAGTGCTCATCAAATTGAATCCCTGATGCACAAGGATCAACCAAGGGCTCACATGCGGGGTAAAGTGCTGCTTTCGTACCTCGAGGTCCATGCAGCAAAATGGTTGTATAATGTACCAAATCACAATTTTAGAAAGGTAAATATGGTGTTCTCAAAAGTTTCTTTGGCTCTCAGGCATCATGATGTGACTTTGGAAGATGATCTTGAAAAATTTTGGAATGACATGAGAATGATATGTTGGTGTCCTGTCCTTATCACGGCACCCCATCCATCTCTACCATGGCCTTCTGTCACATCTATGGTTGCCCCCCCAAAGGTAGTCAGATTGCAGGGAGATATGTGGCTGGCATCTGCTAGCACACGCATATTAGATGGTGAATGTTCGTCTTCAGCCTTGTCATCTAACTTAGGTTGGTCTTCGCCACCTAGTGGTAGCGTAATTGCTGCTCAATTGCTCGAGCTTGGAAAAAATAATGAAATTGTGACAGATCAGCTGCTTCGACAAGAATTGGCACTAACAATGCCAAAGATATATTCTTTGTTGACAAATTTAATTGGTTCAGATGAGATTGATATTGTTAAAGCTATTTTGGAGGGTTGTCGGTGGATCTGGGTAGGGGATGGTTTTGCAACTGCAGATGAAGTAGTTCTTGATGGCCACCTTCATTTAGCTCCTTATATACGTGTTATTCCTGTTGATCTAGCAGTTTTTAGAGAATTGTTTTTGGATCTTGGTGTCAAGGAGCTTTTGAAGCCGGTAGATTATGCTAATATTCTCTTCCGAATGGCTGCAAGAAAGAAGTGCTCTCCACTGGATGGACAAGAACTCAGAACAGCGGTGTTGCTTGTCCAACATTTGGTTGAAGTTCAATCTCAGGATTTGAAGGTTCAAGTTTATTTGCCAGATGCTTCATGTAGGCTACTTCCTTCAACTGATCTAGTTTTTAATGATGCTCCATGGTTGCTTGTTTCCAGTGAGAGTTCATTTGGAGATACATCTACTTTAGCTTTTGATGCAAAAAGAGAAGTATATAACTTTGTCCATGGTAACATCTCGAATGACCTCGCAGAAAAGCTTGGTGTTCGTTCTCTTCGTAGATTGTTGCTTGCTGAGAGTTCTGATTCCATGAATTTAAGTTTATCTGGGGTTGCTGAGGCCTTTGGACAGCATGAAGCCTTAACAACAAGGCTTAAACACATTGTTGAAATGTATGCGGATGGACCAGGGATTCTTTTTGAACTTGTGCAAAATGCTGAAGACGCACATGCTTCTGAGGTATTTTTTCTTTTGGATAAGACTCAGTATGGGACTTCATCCATTCTTTCTCCTGAAATGGCTGAATGGCAGGGTCCTGCACTTTACTGTTTTAACAACTCTGTTTTTAGCTCAAAAGACCTTTATGCAATCTCACGCATTGGTCAAGATAGCAAACTCGAAAAGCCATTTGCTATTGGAAGATTTGGCCTTGGCTTTAATTGTGTGTATCACTTTACCGATATCCCTAGTTTTGTTTCTGGGGAGAATATTGTAATTTTTGATCCTCATGCCAGTTATCTGCCTGGAATTTCTCCTTCTCACCCAGGTCTCCGGATAAGATATATGGGAAGGAGGATATTAGAACAGTTTCCTGATCAATTCAGTCCATTTTTGCACTTCGGTTGTAATTTGCAGGAACCATTTCCAGGTACACTTTTTCGGTTTCCTCTAAGAAGTGAAAGTGCTGCTTCTAGAAGCCAAATAAAGAAAGAAAAATATGCACCTGAGGATGTTGAGAAACTGTTCCTGTCCTTTTCTGAAACTGTATCTCAAGCATTGGTTTTTCTTCGCAACATTGAAAAGATCACCATATTCGTAAAGGATGGAACTGATCAACAGATGCAATTAATCTACAGTGTTACTAGACACAAAGTTAGTGGGCTTGTAAAACAACCACATCAACTTCATTCCATGCTAAATTTCATTCATGGAGATCTCAGAAGTGGAATGGATATGGATCAATTCTTGAAAAAACTAAGTAAGACAGAAGATAAAGATTTGCCATGGTACTGTCAAAAAATTGCAGTTGTGGAACAAAATTCTGTGGGCCATGTATTGCATTTTTGGTTCATCAGTGAGACTATAGGTGGTGGACGTGCTAGGAAGAAATGTTTATCTCTGGATAGTAGATCTCATAAGTTGATCCCCTGGGCTTCTGTTGCTGCCTATATGTGCTCCATTGACTTAAAGGATGTAAAGGAACTAAATAAGGTTCTAAATCAGCCTGTTTCTGGAGTAATACAAGATAGGAAAAAGTTTGAGGGCCGAGCATTCTGCTTTCTGCCTCTACCTGTTACTACTGGTCTCCCAGTGCATGTGAATGCATATTTTGAACTATCTTCAAACCGAAGGGATATATGGTTTGGCAATGACATGGCTGGAGGTGGAAAAGCACGATCTGAGTGGAATATATGTCTCCTTGAAGATGTTATTGCTCCTTCTCTCGGTCGGTTGCTTGATGTCCTTGCACAAGAGATTGGTCCATGTGATCTCTTCTTTACACATTGGCCCACTGCTGTAGGGGTTGAACCATGGTCTTCAGTGGTACGAAAAGTATATGCATCTATTGCTGATCTTGGACTAACTGTCCTCTACACAAAGGCTAGAGGAGGACAATGGATCTCAGCAAAACAAGCTATTTTTCCTGATTTTGATTTTCCAAAGGCAGTCGAACTTGCAGAAGCATTATCTGAAGCCGGTTTGCCTATTATATCGTTCTCCAAGTCAATTGTGGAGAACTTTGTGGAGGTATGCCCCTCATTGCATTTTTTGAATCCTCACTTACTGAGAACCTTACTGATTCGACGGAAGCGTGGCTTTAAAAACAAAGAGACAGTGATCATGACTCTAGAATATTGCTTAAGTGACATGACAGGATCTACATTCTATAATAAGTTGCAGGGATTGCCCTTGGTTCCTTTAGCAAATGGATCATTCACAACAATTAACAGGCATGGGGAGGGTGAAAGGATATTTATCACTTACCAACATGAATATGATCTTCTTAAAGATTCAATTCCACATCTTCTTGTGGACTGCACAATTCCAGATGAAGCTTTTAAAACGTTATACAGTATGGCAAATTCTGGGCAATCAAACATCCATGTCTTGACATGCTTTTCCCTCGTTGAACTATTTCCTAGGATCCTGCCCACTGAATGGCAACTTTCCAAGCAGGTTTCTTGGACTCCAGGCTTTCAAGGTCAGCCAAGTCTACAGTGGATGGGGTTGCTATGGAGTTATTTGAGGGAATCCTGCTCAGATCTTTCGATATTTGCCAAGTGGCCTATATTACCAGTTGGAAATGGATGTCTCTTGCAACTTATTGAGAATTCAAATGTTATTAAAGATGAAGGGTGGAGTGAGAACATGTATTCCTTGTTGCAGAAACTAGGATGTTCCTTTTTGAGATCCGATCTGCCAATAGATCATCCACAGTTAAAGAACTATGTTCAGGATGCAACAGCAAATGGTATTCTCAATGCTTTGCAGGCAATTTCTTGCCAGCAGCAGAATTTGAGTGATTTGTTTGACAGTGCTTCAGTGGGAGAGAAGCATGAATTTCGAAGTTTTATCTTCCAATCTAAGTGGTTTTCTGGCAACCACCTATGTACTAGGAACATTGACACCATAAAGCTTCTCCCTGTATTTGAGTGCTACAGGAGTAGAGAACTTACCAGTTTGGTTAGTCCTGTCAAATGGTTGAAACCCGAAGGTGTACATGAGGACCTTTTGGATGCAAATTTCATCAGAACTGAATCTGAGAAAGAGAGGAGCATTTTAAGAAGCTATCTACGCATTAGGGAACCTACCAAGTTTGAATTTTACAAGGATCATGTGCTCAACCGTATACCTGACTTCCTTTCTCAGCCAAGCATTCTTTCTTCAATTCTTCTTGATGTGAAACTTTTGGTAGAAGAAGACATTACCATAAAAGCTGCACTATCTGACATTCCATTTGTTTTAGCTGCCGATGGGTCCTGGCAACATCCTTCCAGGTACCTTATGTTTTCTGATAATGATTCTCACACTGGATGATTATTGATCTCTGATTTAACATTTAATTATTTTTTCCATTTGCAACATCTTCTAAGCAGGTGCTTACTTTTAAATATATGTCATATTCTCTGATACCATGTATTGCTCTATTCTTAATAAAAATGTAGTGTTATGGTTTTACAATAAACTCCCATATAATGTACAAGTTTTACATGTGTAGGACAGTAATGTGGCTAACAAAACACATAGGGAGTAGTAACTCTATCCATATTTTCCTTTATGCCATGCTTGTCTGTGCATGTTTTGGAGTAAGAAGATATATTCACGTATTCCAAACCAATCTTGTGTGGGTAGATGAAATAAATTGCACTTATCGAAGCTTGTGATTATCACTGATTGACAGGCGTATGTTCAAATAAAAGTTCATGTGGTTTCACAATATACAAGAACAATTCGTACCCTTATTGGCAATCAAATCCTTTCTAATCCTACTAACTACTGGTCATTTTTTTCCACACTGTTACCCTTTTCATTCTTTTACAACTGCTTGATTTCATGACTCATCTTCACTACTACTAACTGTAAGTCATCATGACCAATTATAGGCTCATTTGTTTTATCAGCAATTTCTTGTATAATTTTCTATTTTATTTTTACTACAGTTTACAGTTAAATTAATTTAAGAAGTCTTTGTAGAAATTCAAGTTTGTTGTTAGTTTATATTTATCTGTTCTTTTATTTTCTCTCTCCTAAATGAGAGAGTATTTAAAGAAACCTAAAACTGTCCCTTGGTTTAAATTATTATAACACCAAACATATCATTTATTTACCGTCAGTCTCTACAATATGGCTTTCCTACCATAATTGCCTTGTCCATTAGACTGTCGTTTTTAATCTTTCCTTGTTTATTATTTCATTTTGCTATTATATCTGATTCAGAGGCTTCCACACTTTATATGCTATAAAAGTGTGGTCTCCTTTTTTTCTCCTACTCTTAGGAAAAACAATTACTAATGTGGAATAATCACAATGAGACCCTTTTTAGTTTATTAAACTAGGACAACTTAGTCTTGCTTTTTAGTTTGGTATTTTGTGTCAGTCTGAGAATCATGGTTCCCTTTAATTTTTCAATTTACAGTGAAATTTGTTAATCAAATTACAAATATGGGAAACCTGTAGGTTGGCCTATGGTTTGTGGTCAAAATATATTCTGAGACCTAAACTTTTGGGTTCCATCTAAAAATAAGACAAATAGATTGGCCAAGACCTAGTCCATCTCTGCTCCAGCTAGGAGCCTGGAGCTTTGGTTTGACAAGAGAAGACTTCACAATTATATGTGGAAAGGTAATGTATTAACAGGATTATAATGATTCAACTTGGAGGTAAAGGAAGCCATATTTGAGATCAAGGAGGAGAATGTCAATGTACCTGAAGCTGGTCATGTTTAGCTTTATGATGTTATTCACATGCATCTGAGTCCAAGTTAAAAGCATAGTTACCAGAACCAAACCAAAAAGGATATGGTCAAGCCTTGGGTTACTGAATCCCTGTTGATTAGTTAATTGGTTTGATTCAATGTTTAATTAAAAATAATTTAAAATATATAAATAAATTAAGATTATATATTAAAAAATTATAAAATATAAAAATAAAATAATAAAATCTTAAACAAATGAAAACAAAATTTTAGTCATATAGAATACGATAAAAATGATAAGATCAACCAACATTATAAACATAAACTCATACCCAGATTAATAACACATGACAATTTCTAGAAAGTAATTACATTAATCAAATTCAAGACTATACTGGTCCCTGGTCGGACCAGTATGTACTAGATCTGTATTGGTCCCTACCAGATTCGTATGTACCGGTGTTTAAAAGAGGAAGAAAAAGGAGAAGAGGAACAAATGGGGAGGAAGGAGGAGAAGGAAGAAGAGGCAATGGAGGAAGAGAAGGAAGAAGGAAGAAGAGGAAGCGATGAAGTATACCTGCAGTCAAGGTTCGTAATACAGTACCGTACCGGTATTTCGACCTGGGCTCGGTACCGGTACGATACGGTATATCGAGCAGTACACCCAGGTGTATCCGAGTACTGTAGCACTGCTACAGTGCTACAGTGCACTCGGACCGGTAACAGATGGTCCGCGTACCGACAATCTGTCGGACCGGTATGTACCGTCCGTACCGGGCGGTACGGTTCGGTACGACAGACCCTGCCTGCAGTCAGTAGCACACTTTGGTGGGCGAGATAGGCGATGTTGAATGGTAATGGTGGGGAGATATGTGGTGTTAGACGATAGCAGCGATTCTGCTCTCCATCTGCACTAAGAAGAGGGCTTGCATTCTCCATCCCTAATTGATGAAGAATTGTTTAAACTTTTTTTAACAGTTGTATACCGTTTGTTTCGTACAGGTAGCATCGAACATAGTTGTCATGACTTAAATAGCAGATGCATATGAATTTATTAAATATTAAATATCTTTTAATTATTATAATGTCATTTATTAGTTCTACACCAAGGAGCCAATTTAGTATCATGTCATGAATTTTCAAATTCATTTTTTATTTGTTACAATGTTTGGTTCATTTTCCTCATGTTTGGTGACTAGAGGGAGAAGAGGTGGTCAGAGGAAGAGAGGGCGATCAAAAGAGAGAAGTGATTGCATGAGAAAGGCCACTTTCTTTTTCACATTAACCCAAATTTCAAAATTGATACAACTATCCTCTTAAACAAATAATAAAAAATATCTATGTTAAGGGTATTTATGTAATTATGGCCATATCTACAAAAACGGATTGAGTTTATTCAACCCAGTTGGTTCAGATGGGTCATCCAAAAACTGATTAAGTCAATCTGTTCATTCCGATTTCTTAACATAACTGATTTAATAAGTGAATCAGAGCGGTTAATCATCTGTTCTCGGCTTGGTCAATGGTCCATTCTCAGTTTTCCAGTCCAACGACCCCCTTCGGTCCAGATAAAACAATGGTCAAATATCAATTCTTTCCTTTAGGAATTTTGGTGCTATCTTCTTCCTTTTTTTAGAATGAAATGAGAAGCTGGATTTGTTAAATTTAGGACAGTTACTATCCTAGGTTTGAATCTATCTCAGGTTCAGAATAGATCAAATTTTGTTTGATACTTTTTTCCCATTGAAGTGTTAAGAGCTTAAGATAGCCCAAGGTCCAAGAATTTTGACGTGATAGATAGAATTCTGACATACCTTGTAAGCAGTTTTCTTAGAAATTGAATTGAAAGATCAAGCACTTGTTGTCCTCACCTGCTGGCCTGCTCTTTCTGTTGGGCTTTTGTTTCCTTTTATTTTCTCTTTCTTCACATCTTATTGACTTTTTAATCATCTATCAGTCTACCTTTCTTCATCTCCTCTTCATTTAAATATTTTTGCTGGAATTATCTCTGCAATTAAAACCAGCCGTCTGATGAAATCATTTAAAATTTGTTGACTTGGTATAATGCCTCTGCAACAGTAATCAGGCTGCCATGTAATACAAGGTTTCTACATGAAATTCAGGCATTACTTTGCTGTCTATTCTAGTGAGATCTACTTTATTTTCTAGTGGACATTACAAAAGCCCTACTTTCTGTTCTAGTGAGATCTTCTTTGACTACAGGGTCTGCTTTGATTTTTATGATCACCTGATGGGTTTCAGCAGCAGAATCATTTTCTTGCTAATTGAATCAGTATGGAAGGTACCCTAGGTATGCTGTGTTATACTGACCGAAAAAGGGGAAAACAGAAACCAAGCTGAAAAAATAGGAATATTGCCTTCCTCAATTATTCATTCTTCCTTCCCAGGCTCTAAGTTCTTCCTTTTATTCTCCCTTTTCTCCTTTTCCTTCTCTTTTTTAGTTGCAGCTGCCAAGGAGGGTAATCTTTTGAAAGTTGTTAATTGAGTTTGATTAATTATAACTTATATGGTTCTGAAATGGCAGTTATTGCTTTATTATTGAACCAGTTTTGAGGTTGTAAAATTTGAACATTCTTTTATGGTGACTACAACCAATTAATTATATAGGACTTCTGACTGGAATTTGTAAAAAAAATTGTCAAAATCATTCAAAATTTGACCGGTTAAGCAGTACCATTGCAAACTGTCCCAGTTTGATTAAACTCAAGTTGCTTTTACCAGCATATCTCTGAGTCAAGCTTTGAGAAATCTAGGTCCAAACCCAATCTTACATTACATGGTGGTGTTTAGTTCATTGTTGATACTGGAATTGATATTAAAATTGAAAATCTAGTGGATTGGAATCAAGTTGAATCGGATTTGGGATGACCAAGTCCTTTTACATGTTTGGTTTATGGATCTCAGAATAAAAACCAACATTAGTATCAATTATAATAACTAATTTAATTTCACATATATATTGTATAATTTTTAAATTTTAATTATGATTTTTTATATTATATATAGTATATATATTTTAATATTACTTTTAATCTATATTTTCATATATGTTTATAGTTTTATGTTTTATTGTTTAGTTTTTGTACTATGTTACATTTGTATTTAATTTTTTTTTTAATTTTTGGGTTTTTTAAATTTATTTTTTATTAATTATAAGTATTTATATCATGTTACATAATTTTTTTACTTCTATATTTTGGTCATATCATTTTAACTTTACATTAATTAAAATATATATTATTTTTATTTTGGAAAGAAGCAAGTGATAGAAAGGTTATTAATGTGAAACTGTGAATTGGAATTTATTCCTAAGGGGAGGTGGGAATCAAATTAACATTGAAAATGTCAATTTTAGTTTCAAAGGTAATTTGGATCTTCTTTGGAATGAGAATGATATTGCTGTAAGTAAAACATTTACATTGAATATAAATGATTCTCATCCTCATCCCCTTTCCAGTTTCTTCATTACCAAATGGATCCTGAAGTCTTATTCTTAAAAAAATTCTTCATCTAAGTTGCATGCATGATACCTTCTGTTACATGTTTTCAACAAGCATGCATTCTTATCAAGGATTAATATTATTTCTTTTAACTATCTGAACTAACTTTTTTTCTCCAGGCTTTATGATCCTCGTGTTCCTGGCTTGCAGAATATGCTTCATAAAGAAGTGTTCTTTCCTTGTGACAAGCTTATCAAAGCTGAAATGCTCGATTCTCTTGTAAGCCTTGGCCTAAAAAGATCTATGAGTTTTACAAGTTTAATTGATGGTGCTAGGACAGTTTCAATTTTACATGACTCGGGCAATGGCGATGCACTTGCTTACGGTAGAAGGCTTCTTGAATTCTTAAACTTTCTTGGGTTTCAGCTCTCACAGTCTAGCGTCAATGAAAAAGATGATAGATGTGATTCCTTGATACTGTCCAAGAGTGATAGTTTTGCTTTTGGAGATTCACAAGTGGAAGCCCCTTTAGATGGACTCTGCAGATCTAATCAGGGTGAATTTGACATTTTTTCCAACTTTGTTCATGATCAATCAGAAGATGAATTCTGGACAGAGTTGGCAACCATTGCTTGGTGTCCTGTTTATGTTGCGCCACCAGTTAATGGACTTCCATGGTTCATTTCAGAAAATTGTGTGGCATCTCCAAATGCTACAAGGCCAAAATCTCAGATGTGGATTGTGTCATCCAAAATGCGAATTCTTGATGGTGACTGCTGCTCATTGTACCTTCAGCAGAAACTTGGTTGGAAGGATAAACCAAATATAGAAGTCTTGTGTTCTCAACTAATTGAGCTCTCAAGGTCCTATGATAAACTAAAAACGCAGTCAGAGGAGGAACCATCTGTCGATACAGTCTTGACAAGAGAAATCCCCTCAATCTATTTGTACTTACAGGAATTTGTTGGCACTGATAGATTCAAAGTTCTTAAAGAATATCTTGATGGTGTTCCTTGGGTGTTCATAGGTGACAATTTTGTGTTTCCCAGGTTGCTCGCATTTGACTCACCCGTGAAGTACCATCCATATCTTTATGTTGTTCCCTCTGAGTTATCAGAATTTAGAGTTTTGCTTTCTGAATTAGGTGTCAAATTAACCTTTGAAGCTATTGATTATGTGCATGTATTGCAATGCTTAAATCGTGATGTTAGTGAAGAACCATTATCAGCTGAGCAGTTGAGTTTTGTTCGTCGTGTCTTGGAAGCCTTTGCTGACTGTTATATTGAGAAGCGAATACCTGATGCATTACTAAATTCACTTCTGATTCCTGATTCTTCAGGCATTCTGATGCCTACCTTGAGTCTTGTCTACAATGATGCACCATGGATGAAGAACAATTCTCCTGGTGAGAAGCATCTTGTTCACCCAAGCATTAACGACGAACTGGCTAGAACTCTAGGGGTACAATCACTTCGTAGCTTGTCATTAGTTGATGAGGAGATGATGAGGGACTTGCCTTGTATGGATTATGCTACAATATGTGAGCTGCTTGCCTTGTATGGAGACAGTGAGTTTCTACTGTTTGACCTTGTAGAGTTGGCTGACAAGTGCAAGGCAAAGAAAGTGCACCTGATATATGATAAACGAGAACATCCTCGACAATCATTGCTCCAACAGAATCTAGGTTAGTATGGTCTCTTTATGCGGTTTGAGGTCATCTGGACTTGGGGTTTCATATTGCAATGATCATAAAACAGCTTTTTTAGATGGCAGCCTTTAAACTAGGTACATCATGATTTCTACTTATAATTGATTTTGATCTTTATTTTTGTTGTTTTACAGGTGACTTTCAGTCTGCTTCTTTAACAATTGTGTTGGAAGGACCAACTTTGAGCATGGACGAAATATGTAATCTTCACCTGTCTCCTCCATGGAAGGTTCAAGGCAGTGCTCTTCACTATGGGTTAGGCTTGATAAGTGGTTACTTCATCTGTGACCTCATGACCATTGTTTCCTCTGGTTACTTTTACATTTTCGATCCTCTTGGCTTGGCTCTTGCTGCACATTCAAATGGTGGCCCCTCTGCAAGATTGTTCTCCCTGATAGGTCTGGTGTTGCTTATTCTATTTACTATACAAATTCGCTGTCTCACATGTTTGACATGTTCATTAGTGCAATTCTTCAGATGATGTTTTATTACAGTTGTCATGGGCCTCATGGCTAGAAAAGATGATGCATACCTACTGGTTAACTTATTTTAGATCAATCCCACGGTTAATTTAGAAATTTATGTACTTTTTCATGTTTAGGTTGCTGACTTCAAATTATCACAAATTTAGAAAATTGATGATCTAAATCATTAGCTGTGTTGATTCTGGTGGTACATCGAACTGTAAACCTAAAATTTTTACATCTTCATGTCTTTTACTATCTAAATATGTTGACTGGTACCTGTGTCATGTTCATGGAACACTATTTCTCTAGATTTGAAATCACAGGATGATTATATTACTTGGCTGGTATACATTTTCTGTAAATCTTTGATAAATCTGTAATCAAGTTTGTCCGGAGTAATAGATGAAGTCATTATTACTACATTACGATAGTCCACGATGCTGTCTTTCTTTGATTTGAGCCTGATTACTGCAAAATCAGATCTAAATTTTTATGTTTTTCAGAAGGTCCAATTGTATTTGGGTCATGGGCTTATAAAGTTTAGTTGAGTGTGAATATTGATCGAATTCCATCATGCAAGCAGTTGTTCTATCCAAGGTTCGCCGTACCGTACCGTACCGGCGTTTCGACCCGCGCTCGGTACGGTACGGTACGGGTGTACCGACCGGTATACCGAGGTGTACCGAGCGGTACACCCGGGTGTGCCGAGCACTGTAGCAGTGCTACAGTGCTACAGTACTGCTACAGTACCGGAACGGTAAGAGGCGGTCCGCGTACCGAGAGTCTGTCGGACCGGTACGTACCGCCCGTACCGGGCGGTACTGTTCGGTACGGCAAACCATGGTTCTATCATCCATGCAAGGTTCGTCATACCATAGTGTACCACCCGGTATGGGGGGTATGTATTGGTCCACTAGGGGACCGATATGAGTGGTATATACTGTTCTGTTAGTACACTCTGTCGTACCATATGTCAATATGTCAGTATAGATCGATACATTCCATACCGATGGTCAATCGGTACACCGGTATGGACCGATAAGGCAAACCATGGTTCCATAGATTAATTATCACGTTTGATCATGTTACCTCTGCATTATTTACGTACATGTCCTTTTACTACTATTGAGTGTAATGCTTCTGTCCCGTCAAAAAGTCAACTTAGCAAGCACACATTTTGTGAGAAGCATATTATTGTTTTCTATAAATTTTGTTGGATTAAGTAAAATTATTTTATTTGTTAGACAAGATCTTGGAAGGTTTGACACTCTGGTACATCTTAATTGCTGCTGTTATCCTTTTGCTAGATGTTTCTTGTTCTTGTGAAAATTCAATCTTTTATTGATGCCAGAGTTTCCTCTATAAGGTTGGTAGTAGAGTTCCCTAAAATAACTTCGGGAGTAGTATCATGTTCACATTCTTAATTGGTGTTGTTGTGATGTTGGCTCTATTTTATTTTCTGTCAGTGTATTCAGTTTAACCAGCATATAGGTTCTTTATCTGTCCATATTGTTTGTGTTCTTTTAGAGGTTATGCCATCTAAATATATCCAAAACAAAAAGGTTAGCATGCATTAAGATAATAAAGAACAAGAAACATTTGTGACCATTTAGTGCCTATTTTAGTGTTTCCAAAGTTAAATGAAGCTTGCTCAGGATATCAGATCCTTCTGTTTCATATGCTCTTTACTAACTCACCGTCTATATTTCTTGTGTGGCTTATTTATTTTACAGATACTGACTTGACTAAGAGATTCAACGATCAATTCAGTCCAATGCTAATTAATAAGGAGACTTCAGTGTCCTCATCTAATTCCATGGTTATACGCATGCCTTTATCTTCAAAATGCAGGAAAGAAGAAGAATCTGATTGTTTAAGAGTGAAGCATATTTTTGACCGATTTATGCATCATGCTTCATCATCACTTCTATTCTTAAAGTCAGTTCTGCAGGTAATAAATATCGAAGATAAACATTTTATTTGATTCTGTATATTGCTTCCTTCATTTTGACCTCCTTGACTGTCTTATTGTTGTCATTTGATTCTACAGTTTATACTCAAAAGTCAAAAGGTTGTACATAGTTTTGCAGCTTTTGCTTGCTAGCATGTTAGCACATATGTCCAGTTACTTATTTCTTAACCTGGATTTTCTTTTTTATATTCTTTGTAATCGCTCTAAAAAAATTATATGGCATTCTTTTTAAGAACATTGTGCTGATGATTGATCTGCATCTATAAAAATAGCCACCAACGTAGAGTTAGAATTATTTGACTACTTTGCTTAATCTCCAATTAGTTGTTGCAGGTGGGACTTGAGAACTGAAGCAGTTCTCTTCTTTTTGTCATTATTTGTGATCGTCACCATCAATTGTTTTGTTACAACATAATATTATGTCAATGTGCCAAATAAAATGAAATGAATTTTGAAAAAATATCTAATATTACCTTTTTCTTTTACTTGTTTGTGTTTTAACAAATTGGCATAGTAAGCTGCAGTTGCATAATCAGAAATTGAGGTTGGGTTTATCTTTTCTAAATGTAGTTTTCTGAATTTTGCAATCCAGACTTTGACAAGTTAGTTTACTAGCATGACAAGATACAGCTGAGGATTGAAATTTAGCTTTTGACATAAGTCAGCTGATGCATTTTCTTATATGTTGTTAATTGATATACTACTTGACAAAATGTATCTCCCTTGTTAGTTTTTCACTTCCATATAGTTGATAATGTCTTTTTTTGGGGTCAAAGCATTCTTAGTTTCATTTCTGGAAGGAACTCCAAAATCCTTAGTTCTCTTTATTTGGTATGTCGTGCTAGTAAAATCTGACATGTGGAGACTACTTGTTTTCTTTCTTTCCCAGAATAATACATTTATTTAAATAAGAAGGCACTATTTGGGTTTTTTTTCGTTCATTTACTACAAATTGCAGCTTTCTTTCATATTTGGCATATACCACTAAATTCTTCTTCGATTTCAGGTGTCTTTATCAACGTGGGATGAGGGAAGTTTGCACCCATCATTAAATTACTCCATATCAGTGGACCCATCATTTGCAATTTCAAGGAACCCATTTTCAGAAAAAAAATGGAGAAAGTTTCATATATCAAGATTGTTTAGTGGTTCCGGTGCAGCCACAAAGATAAATGTGATAGATGTTCAGGTGATTAATGGTGGGAGTATATCTGTTGATAAATGGCTTGTAGTACTTTCTTTGGGGTCTGGACAAACTCGAAACATGGCCCTTGATAGGTATGCTTTTCAAAATGAATTTTTAAGATGTGATTTAATTAAAAATATCATGGATCTGAGGACTTTATTTAGGTTACACAAGGATATTGGTTAATAAGCAAATAATCAAATGATATAGGAAATAAACTTGTATCATTTGGTTCTTATCCTAAATAGTTGAGGGGTTGATATTATGCCTTTGCTACAAGGATCACCGTTTCAAGTACCAATCCCATTTCAGTGATTGGGTTGGACTGTCCTGGTGTTTTGGAGAGGAAGACAAAAGAAGAAGAGGAAGGGGCGGTGGAGGAAGAGGGGGAAGAAGGGGAGGCGATGTAGGTAGAGGAGGAAGAAGAAGAAGAGGAAGCGGTGGAGGTGGAGGATGAAGAAGAAAGAAGAGGAAGAGGAGTTTTTTTTTTTCAATTACTGAATTGGCCTGGGCCCAATGCTGTTTTAGGTTTCTTTCATTTTTTTCCCTCAGTTGGATCGAACAGCCGAAAATGGAGGTGGGCTGTATATCGGTCCACACTCGGAATAGTGTGTACCACTTATTTCGTATCGTTTTGGGTGGTACGACAATTATTGCTCTGAAAGACGTAAATTTTTTGTTCATAACTTCATCAGTTGGATATTTCAGGCCAATGCATAAGAAATGCACTTGTGATGACTGTAGATTAATCTATCTGCATTATGAAGTCTTTGTGCTTCACCTGGTTTTTTTTTCCATTTTGAATTGTGATAACTATCTGGTAGTATTGGACTGGTGAATTTTAGTTATTTTATAAATAATAATTGATATGGCTCTTATCTTTGACATGATATCCTAGTCAATATTTGTTGCATCTTTCACTGTTCAAAGGAAAAAAATACTTAAATGGTTCATCATATCATGAGAAAATAATAAAGAACGTCAGTTGACATGATATCCTAGTCAATATTTGTTGCAGACCTCTTTTTGAAGGCCTGCTTTTGTTTCATCATATATTAAAAAGCTGTATTCAAAATCCAATAAAGATGTTGTGTGAAGCATGTGACACATCTTAATGTTGATAAGAGACATAAAATGTAGCCAAAATAATCGACAAACATATATCTGTCAGTTGTTGAAGTTGTGATATCCTTTATATATACATAAACCTATGGCAAGACCAAGTGAAATGTGTCTTGGAGAATGATTACTTGTAACTTTAGGATTGCTACTTTCTCATTGCATTCAATTGAATAATTAAGCTTCTTTTCAGGAGGTATCTTGCTTATGATTTAACACCCATTGCTGGAGTTGCAGCTCAGATATCTAAGAATAGTCATCCTATAAATGCTCATACATCCAGCTGTGTATTGTCTCCTCTTCCCCTGTCTGGAGCCTTAAGTATGCCTGTCACTGCTCTTGGATGTTTTCTTGTATGCCATGATGGTGGGCGGTATCTTTTTAGCCGTCCTCATGAAACAACTTTTCCAGAGCTACAACTTGAAACTAGAAATCATATAATTGAAGCTTGGAACAGAGAATTGATGTTGTGTGTTCGTGATGCATATGTTGAATTGATTTTGGAATTTCAAAGGCTTAGGAAGGAACCCATCAGTTCTACGATTGAGCCAAATTTGGCACGTTCCGTGTGCTCTATTTTGCAGGCTTATGGTGATAAAATTTACTCTTTCTGGCCAAGGTCTAAACAACAATTTGTCATCTCTAGTGAGCTTGATGTTGCTGCCAGTGGTTCAAGTTCATCTAAAAAAATTGAAGCAGATTGGCAGTCATTAATTGAGCAAGTGATAAGACCTTTCTATATGCGCCTTGTTGACCTTCCTGTCTGGCAACTTTATGGTGGAAATGCTGTCAAAGCTGATGAAGGCATGTTTTTATCTCAATCAGGAAATGGAGATGACAGCAACTTGCCACCAACCAATGTTTGCAGTTTCATAAAAGAACATTATCCTGTGTTTTCTGTACCATGGGAATTGGTCAGGGAAATTCAGGCTGTTGGAATTAAGACGAAAGAAATTAAGCCTAAGATGGTTCGCGATCTCCTCAAATCCTCCTCATCTGTTTTAGTTAGATCTATTGAGACCTATATAGATGTCTTGGAATATTGCTTATCTGACATTCAGCTGCAGCAGTCATTCGGTCTGTTAAGAACTGATGGATCTGGGGAAGGGAGTAGTTTGCAGATTGAAAGCATCATACCTTCAAACACAAATGTGCTCAGATCCCATCAAAATGCTGCCCAGAACTCCAGTAATTCAGGTGGTGATGCACTTGAAATTGTTACATATTTTGGCAAGGCTTTATATGATTTTGGTCGTGGTGTTGTTGAGGATATTGGCAGGACAGGTAATACTCTGTCCTACATACCTGCTACTGCAGGTACTGGTCCATATGCAGATCGGTTACTGCCATCTGTAGTTGCTGAACTCAAAGGCATACCGTTTCCAACTGCAACAAAGCACCTTGTGAGGCTTGGAGTGACTGAGCTTTGGATTGGGAGCAAGGAGCAGCAATCTTTTATGCATCCTTTGACAGATGGCTTTGTCCATCCACTATGTCTAGAAAAGCATATTTTGACTGCCCTCCTTTCTGACAAAAACATCCAAAGGTATTTAAAATTGAGAGGTTTCTCTGCTCACTTATTGTCAAGCAATTTGAAGTTTCTTTTTAATGAGCAATGGGTGAGTCAGGTAATGAGCAGTAATAGGGCTCCATGGGTTTCATGGAACACCAATACTGACCCACCAGGTGATGGACCCACTCGTGAATGGATCCAACTTTTCTGGAAAACCTTTACAGCCTTAAAGGGTGAGCTATCACTTATAGCTGATTGGCCTTTAATTCCTGCCTTTCTGAATGGGCCAGTTTTGTGTCGTGTTAAAGAGCTTCACCTAGTATTTGTACCACCAATTTCAGACTTAAATCTTGTGAATGGAACTTCAGGAACCAATAGTGAAGAGGTTGGATTACTGGATTCTTCTGTGGATAATATTCCAAACCTTGAACTAAACAAGTTGTATTATTCTGCTTTTGAATTAACAAAGTCAAAATATCCATGGTTGTTTTGTCTTCTTAATCAATTTAATGTACCTGTATATGATGTCTCCTTCCTGGAGTATGGGGTACCCAATAATATTCTCCCAGCACATTCCGAAACTCTTTGTCAGGTAGTTGTATCAAAATTACTTGCTGCCAAAGTTGCTGGCTATTTTTCTGTGCCAGTTGATTTATCAAATGAAGACCGTGACAAACTATTTGCCCTATTTGCTTTGGATGTTAAGTCATTCAATGGGTGTCCATATAAAAGAGAAGAGCTAGATTTGTTGAGAGAACTTCCCATATTTAGAACTGTTCTTGGTACGTATACAAGGTTATTCAGCCCTGATCAATGTATTCTTTCTCCGTCTACATTCTTTCGTCCTAGAGATGAGCGGTGTCTTTCTAATACCATGGATGCAAATGCTTTATTCCATGCTCTTGGAATAAATGAGCTAAGAGATCAGGATGTTTTAGTGAGATTTGCCTTGCCTGATTTTGAGAGGAAAACTTCAGGAGAACAGGAAGATATTTTGTTGTACATCTACTTGAACTGGAAAGACCTACAATTAGATTCTACTGTAGTGAACTCCTTGAAAGAGACTAGCTTTGTACGTAATGCAAATGAACTTTGTTCAGAGCTATTCAAACCACGGGACCTGCTTGATCCTCATGATTGTTTGCTGACATCAATCTTCTCTGGGGAACACAACAAGTTTCCTGGGGAGAGGTTCATTACAGATGGTTGGCTACAGATTTTAAAGAAAACAGGGCTTCGAACATTTTTGCAAGCTGACACCATAATTGAATGTGCAAGGCAAATAGAGAAGCTAGGAAATGAACATATTGGTGACAGGCAGGATGCAGATGATTTTGAGGCAGATTTCTCAGGTAACCAAAATGATGTTTCTTTTGAAGTATGGAATTTAGCTGTCTCTTTGGTAGAAACAATACTTGCAAACTTTGCCTCTCTGTATGACAACTCTTTCTGTGAGAATCTTGGGAAGATTTCATTTATACCTGCTGAGAAAGGTTTCCCTAGTATTGGTGGTAAGAAGGGTGGGAAGAGGGTACTTACTTCATATAGTGATGCTGTCTTGTTAAAAGATTGGCCATTGGCTTGGACCATTGCTCCAATTCTTGTCAAGCAAAATGTTGTTCCTCCTGAATATTCCTGTGGAGCATTTCGCTTGAGAAGTCCTCCGCTTTTTTCTACAGTCTTGAAGCATTTGCAGGTGAATGAACACATCGTTAGGTGACAAAATGAAATTTTATGTTTACATTTACATGTTTACAGTTTTTGACTTCTGAGAAAAATGGTCTTAGGTTGTTGGAAGAGCTAACGGTGAAGATACCCTTGCACACTGGCCTACATCAACAGGCATGATGACGGTAGAAGATGCCTTTCTAGATATTTTGAAGTACCTAGATAAGATATGGGGAACACTCTCTTCTTCAGGTTTGCATATTTACATACATGCATATCTATATACATTTTAGGCCATACAATTATTGTTGCTCTCCACTAATCCCTAGGCTTTGTGATATTGTACCAGATAGATTAAATTTATAGCACTTGGGTTTTTGTTTTGGATGGTGCTAATAAATAAGGTTTCAAATACCTGTTGGACTTGTTCATACCAACCGATATTTACTGGTTTGATCAATTTAGGCCATATTTACTGGCCTGATCAATGACTAATATCACATCATATAGCTCACTACTGGTTGGTTTTTTTAATTGTTTTTAGTGATACTGGGTGGTTGCTAATAACAATATGAGATGTGCAAGAAAATTTTCTGCATATATCTTAAATTTCATTGTCACTTCTGAAGATGGTTAAATTGGATTATCTGAAACCAAGCTAATGCATATGCAATGATGATAATGTTAGATTTGCATCTCGAATAATCTGTAAATAGCCAGATGTGGTTGTCAAATCCAGGATTATAAAATCTATAGGTTCTATAGCAGCATGTTTGAATAAACTATTGCTTAGGATACAGAATGCTCTATTATGGTTAATGCATCTGCAATGATGATATGGTAGATTTGCATCATTACTAAACTGTAATTAGCCAGATGTGGTTGTCAAATTCAAGATTATATAATCTCTAGGTTTTATAGCAGCATGTTTTAATGGACTATTCTTAGTGTGGAAACTGAATATTTAAGACAACAAGCTCGGAACTCTGGAGGTGGTTGCAGAGTAGGAAAATCTACATTTGCCTTTGGGTTGATGAGAACATACTGTAGACTATTGCTAGCACTTGTAATTTTTATGCTGCTCAGAGCAATTCCTATGGAAATAAAGAGAAAATGCATCAAATATATTTAAAAATGTCCCTAAGACACTGCTAAATCTGAAAGTATTTATGCTTTATCAGGATTAAATGTGAATCGACGCCAAAACAGTAGAAGTACACAATCTCTGAATACCTTATTCTCAAAACTGAATCTCAGTCAAGTAGATATTCTGGAAACAGATGGATGTTTAATGGAATAATGGATTTTATTCTTCTCATTGAAATTTTTCCTAAATTCAGTTAAGGTATCTTATCATCATATTTGTCTATGTCATGTGTTATGCAAATAGACCATTTGTGGCTTCTGCAACTATGGTTAGTCTTATTATTTATGGAATAGGTTTCACTTACCCGCCTTATTGTGTATAAGCATAGCTTTGGATCACATGAGAACAATTGTCTGATGGTCACAGCATGAATCAGATTTAAAAGTTCCAAAAGGAGAACCAAAGTCATAATATTTAAGTTAGTCTTCAAGGTTAAGACTTCAGGTCCCAAAGCTTGAGGTGATCACACATGATGGCTATGTTTGTTTTAATATTTATGAATTTAGTTCCTTAAATACTATAGATGATAGTACAAAATATCCTATCAGTATTCTTTGGTAGTAGTACAACTAACCCATCAGCAATTCTCGGTTACGTATAAATTGTTGCACATATGAAACAACATTTAAATTGAAATGCCTTTGTCATGATTTGGATTTTTAAAATAATGTGCATGCTTGATTAGTCTTGATCCTGAAGATTATGCTTTGGATGATTAATCTGGAATGAGGAAACATTTCTAAGAAAGGTGGATTTTGGTAAGCATCCAAAGCTACCAGTAAGGTCTCCAATGTAAAAGACTTCTTCCTGCACCTGTAGATGATCAAAATAGATCTATATCACAGATACGACAAGGAACATGCTGTCCTATTTTTGTGCTGGTATATGCTTAGGTGATGTGCCTAAGAAGGCAAATCTTTTTACACACCCGCTTCCTAAGGCCTTCATAATGCAGACTTGTTGCATGATAAATGCTCTGAGACCAATGAGTGTAATGACACCAGAAGATACCAAGCTGATAGGACATGACATGTTGTTTATTGGTAATGCTAGCACTCTTAGGTTTGATCTTTCTTTTACCATATGAAAGTGGTTACTTCCAGAAAAAAAAACAAATATAGTAAAAAATGTTTGAGATTGGCAGTATATTGTTATGCTGATATTTGGTTATTTATCCTTGAATCATTGTGAAATTTGGTTAGAAATGCAAAAAACACTTCATTTATTGATGTCAAATTATTTGTGGATATTCAAAACTCAAATTATTTTACCTTTCTAATTTAAATCAAATGTTACTTGTGGATATAGTCATCCTTCAATTCTTTAAATTCAAATGGCTTTATTAATTATTTACAAGTTATGAAGTTACAATTCATTTATGAGGCCATTTATTCTTCTATATATAACCTTCTTCTGGCAGATATTCTAGAATTGCAGAAAGTGGCCTTTGTGCCGGTAGCAAATGGAACTCGCTTGGTTACCGTGAATTCTCTTTTTGTTCGTCTGATGGTTAACCTTTCACCATTTGCTTTTGAACTCCCTAGTTTATATCTCCCATTCGTGAAAATCCTCAAGGAAATAGGGATGCAGGAGGTTCTTACTGTTTCCTATGCTAGAGAACTTCTTTTAAACATACAAAAATCATGTGGGTATCAACGCCTTAATCCTAATGAACTTCGTGCGGTAATCATGATTCTGAATTTTATGTGTTCTGAGGTTGTTCTTTCAACATCATCTGAACTAGATTGGTTATCTGATGCAATAATCCCAGATGATGGCTGCAGGCTTGTTCTGGCAAGATCATGTGTATATGTTGATTACTATGGGTCACAATTTCTTAGTAATATAGACACCTCCAGGTTAAGATTTGCTCATCCAGAACTTTCGGAAAGTATATTTATGGCCTTTGGTGTCAAGAAACTTTCTGACATTGTCATTGAGGTGCGGGAACAACCTTTTCGCATGGTGTAGGTTTCTCTGAAATGAACATAATGTTGACTGTAAATTGTTTCTTTTTCCTTATTTTGTGCAGGAATTGGATGGACCAAAATTACAGGTTGTTAGCCAGATTGGGTCTGTGTCTCTTAGTAGAGTAAAAGAAAAGCTTTTTAGCAAATCATTGCAAGAGGCAGTGTTAATGTTATTGGGTAACATTTCTAATCACTATCCATCACTTGAAGACCTTGGTTTATCGCAGATAAGGCATCTACTGGAACATATTGCAGAAAATTTGCAATTTGTTCAATGGCTCCACACTCGATTTCTTTTACTTCCAAAGCTCCTGGATATTACACGGATAACCAAGCATTCCACCATTGTTGAATGGGACGACAGTGTTAAACATCGAACTGTTTACTTCATAGACAAATCAAAGGATCACATTTTGATTGCAGAGCCTCCAAGTTTTATGACAGTGTATGATGTAGTTGCCACTGTCACAAGCCAGGTTTTGGGGGCACCGGTGACTCTACCATTTGGGCCACTTTTTGCCTGCCAAGATGGTTCAGAAAAAGCAGTTCTCAGAGCACTAAAATTAGGGTCTGAACATGGAACCATAAAACGTGAAAGTAAAAACAATTCTTTAGTGGGAAAAGAATTATTATCTCAAGATGCTCTTCAGGTGCAGTTCCTTCCAGTACGACCATTTTACTCAGGAGAAATAGTTGCATGGAAGACAGGAAGAGAAGGGGAGAAACTTAGGTATGGTAGAGTTCCAGAAGATGTAAAGCCATCAGCTGGTCAAGCACTGTACAGATTTCCTGTGGAGATTGCTCCTGGAGAAACCCAAGTACTACTTTCTTCACAGGTTTTCTCTTTCAAAAGTGTTTCTATGTCCAATGTGGCTTGCATGCCATCCTTAAGAGAGGACAATGAAGGCATAAACAGAAATCGAATGCTTCATGGCCAGACATCCAAGGATTCTGGAAATGAGAAGATGAAAAGCCAGGTTAGACTGCTAAGGGCTCATAATTATTTTTTAGTTGGGCTTAGCTCATTAAATGCTAAAGGTTTTCTTTATGGCAGACTTCAAAAGAACTCCAATATGGAAAAGTATCTGCGCAAGAATTGGTGCAAGCAGTCCATGACATGCTTTGGGCTGCTGGAATTAATATGGATGCTGAGAAGCAAACACTTCTCCAAACAACGTTAACTCTGCAAGAACAGCTGAAAGAATCTCAGGTTGCTCTTTTGGTCGAGCAGGTTTGTTTCTTCCTAGGTTCCTGCATTTCTTGTTTCACAAACCAAAATTTCTGATATAGTTAAATGTTGCTGAACATGTCAGATTGAATATAAAAAATTACCAATAACATAGTGGTCAAATATAGATGCAATTAATATCTGTTGTCTTCATGAAAGTTTCTTTTGTTTCTTGTGGTAGTCTATAGGGATGTCAATGATGTACAAAATAAGATCTTTCATACACATATCATACAAGAAAGTCATTTTTATCCTTTTGTGTAATTTGATAAAATGGAGTGAAGATGTTTCAAAATGATTAAACAAACTTTTTAATGAATAGCATGGAAGTATGAACCACAAAGGTAACAATTCTTTTGTGTAGTGAGGTTATTTGCTAGTAATTAATTTTATCTCAAGTTGGAATTGAAAATGAGAACCTTTCTCACACACACATAGAATTTAAGTCTCCCAACTAGTCGACACTGAGAATGGCCAAATTATGATCTATTGAAGGGCAGACATCCAAAAATTGGATTCCTAAACCTCTATTCTAAAGGACAAATTAAATATGAGCTATGATGTCAATTGCATAACCAGAGAAGTCATATCTCTACGACAAGAAACTAGTCACATCAATTTTATGACCTTGAAACCCATATTAGCACCAGCATATTTTTTGGACACTTTGGGTAAATAGGTTGGGAACCCCTCTTATTTGGTCTTTGTGGCCAGACCTCTCCCAGACTCTCTACAGACACCTAGACAAAGTGGAGGAAAGTAAAAAAAGGAAAAAACATATTGTTTTGTACATTAAGACAACGAGTCTATCCAAAAATTTCTAGAAAAAATATTGGAGTTTGAAATAATTTTAATGAACTAAGTAAACCTTAAAAAAAAAGGATTTTTCTTGATCGCCATAGTGAGCTATTTTAGTTCAAACCTCAATTAAGTTTTTTAATATTTTGTAGAAGCAACTAAATCATTCCCAAGTAACCAATGGAAGTGAAAAAAAAATCATTGCTGATTGGTTTCTTCAACAGAGAGGGTTTCTTTTCCCTAATGTCTATCCATGGTGGCTCACATGAAAGTGTGGTGCTCCAGGTAAAAATAACTGGTAACCGGAAATTGTGATATGAAAACATAGGGATTCAGCCTTCCGATGATCTCAAAAAGAAAGGGTCCTTTTTTTTCATTTTTGGAACTTAAGTATCTGTTACTTTGGTTGCTAAATGGTTATCCATGAAAACATGGATACTCAAGATTTTTCTTAGTAACTGGTTAGGAAACAGTCCTCGAAGCTAAATTAGCATAGATTTAGGATAAACTTCCACTTATTTTGTTGGTGATGGAGAAGGCTGACTCTGAGAGCATAGTAGATCTGGTTTATGTGATAATGAAGGAGAATTTGCTTTAGAAGTGCTGCCCAAATGGACATGAGATCTGATGACAAATTATATATCCTGACACTCCACATAATAATTAGGCAGCTCAGAAGAGAAAATGTGTTATTGCAGAGATCTGTTTCATTCATACTCGGACAACCAGATTTATTTAAGTGATTAACTGACTGCCAAAAATGGATTGAGATTTCATCTCACCTTTAATAGTATCTTAATAAAAACAAACCTAATATCATATTGTTGTACTTTGGAGCTGTGATATTGGTTGTAAAGCTTGATCTCTTATGCCAACACCAAAAATAGCTATCTTGTAGACTCTCACTAGTACTCATTTATTTGTGACCTTTTTTTGTCTTTTGCCTTTGATCTGTATGTTGTCGTGGTAGTCAGTAAGAGTATACAAATCAGCAGGAAGTTTGCATTTAATGTCCATCAAAATATTTGCAGGAAAAGGTCGATGCAGCAGTGAGAGAAGCTGATGCAGCTAAGACAGCATGGTCATGTCGAGTGTGTCTTAGTGCTGAGGTGAACATCACGATTGTTCCCTGTGGACATGTTTTATGTCTAAGATGCTCTGCTGCTGTTTCTCGCTGCCCATTCTGTCGTACCCAGGTTTCCAGAACTATGAAGATTTTTAGACCATGAAATGTGATTGAGGTCCATCTTAGGATGATTTTAAGGTGCTTGAGGCATACAATGTTTGAAGCATGGAAACCGAGGACCAAATGCTTTATTCCCATCAACAAAGCGACATGCCTGAGCGATAGTTTTCATTTAGAGGAAGGATTGACCATGTTCACAAGAGCATGATTTGTGGCTTGCATTGCAGGGAGAAAGCATGTCCTGAATGGAAATACAACTTCTGGGAGATTAGAGAAGAACATCTGTTCTCATGGTACAAAAACCTTTTCTTGTCCTGTAATTTCTTCTCTTTAGCCGTAACATATCTCTGTATATGACAGGCTAATATCTGAAGCAGCCTTCTGCATGCCCAAGAAAGTGGCAGAAGATGATCGATACAAGAGAATCAATAGGTTACTGATTCAGTGTGATCCTTCTGTAGCTTTATCGTGTATTGCCTAAATTTGTAAATGCCTCTTAGCAGCCAAATTTACTTGGTGAAAGTATATTTCCTCTCCTTCCACAATATTTTTTGGGGTTGTACATACTGTTTCATTTCTCTGTCAATAACTTGTCCAGTTCAATTTTATTTTCTTACTGAGTTCAACTTTACTCTCAAATGAGCATTGAAGTGCAAAAGATTTGGCCATGGGATACCATCATCTACTTTTACTCAGAGAAATCATTATGTGGAATTCAAACGATGGTTTTCTATACAAATCTAGTGGACCTGCTATATCGGATTGATGGCTGGTGTCTAATTAAGGTTTCAAAGACCAATCGGTACGTACAGTCGATACCAACTTTATTTTTTCTCTATTTTTTTGATTGATATCATGATATACAGGTTGGTATATCGGTACATATTTGTCCCATGAATTGTTGAAAAATAGTATGTTTTCATTTACACGATTGATTCTATGCTACTGCTTAATATTGTTTATTTTGTTCATTCGATCAGTAGGAATTCATTCTGATCAAGTGTAATAAATTTTTATGTATTATTCAAATGATTAATTCCATCTGCTAATGGTTCAAGAATTTATCATTGAGTCGAGATCTTATGAAATTTTGAAAGCCTAAAATAATGAGTCAATCACACTATTACCGTTCCTCTACCAATTAATTAATTGTCATATGGAATTCCTTATCCAATCAGATTCCGCCGTTCTTTAATTAGAAGCGTCGGTGGAAAGAATCCTAATAAAGCGAAACTAGCGGCGAGGAGGGAAAGAGCCTAATAATACACCCACCCACACCTCTCCTCTGTCAGACAGCGACAACCCAACTTGAAAATGCACAGAAGAATTCTTAGACGTCCCCCCGCGTCTTGACACGTACCACCGGACCCCTCGTACCGCGTCGAGCCGCAGTTATAAGCCTCGTGTGAGCTTCAAAATAAAAAGGAAGTCTTCTCCCACTCTCTTCCTCCCCAGATTCCCACTCCATTCTTGGGGCAGCGGAGCGCTTGGATTCGCTGCATTCCACCAGTTCCGAGCCGAATCCCGTCGTGAAATCCGATGAGATCTTGATCCCTAGCTCGAGATCTATCGATTTAGGGTTCTTTTCAGTGTCTCTGGCATTGCCGATCGAACACGGAATTTTAGGTGTTCTTTTCCGATTGAATTCTGTTTGGCCTTTCTTCATTCAAAGGGCTTAGATGGGATCTCTTTCCCATGAGAGGAAGAGCGATGCCGGTGCTTCCTTCCCGTCGTCGATTTCTTCCTCTCTCTCTCCCTCTCCCTCTCCCTCCCTTTGTTCGTCCAATTCTTCGGGTGCGAAGTACATCGAGCATAATGTGTCCAAGTTGGACACGCTTGCTGGCATCGCCATAAAATACGGCGTCGAGGTAATTGGGATTCTTCTTTTGCTAAATATGGCGTAGATTTTTGTGGCTTTTGCATGAGCTGGATGGATTACCTGATGAGATTGGTTTGTTACTTGAGAATAAGGAAAACTGTTCTTGTTTGATCAATATTGCGTAAGAAATAATGGCCCCTTTTACTTTCTTCTTTTCATGCTTAATCGTTGGGTGTGTAATAAACGTAGCTTGAGGAGTGTAATAAACGATAAAGCTAGCTATGCACGTCACGTAGCTTAGTTGGTAAAAATCTTGACTGATGATAGCAAGATTCTTGGATTGAACCGCAATTTTGCAATTCTTTAATTTAGAATTGAATTGAATTGAATTTCATAGCTAACCATTGTCCTTATCCAGAGAAAGCTTAGCGAGGATCCAATTTCATTAGTTCGACCTTCTTGGAAAAGAGGAAAAAAAAAAAGAAAAGGAAAATGTCAAAGCTGATGTGATAACAGCCAGCTATGCCTTCCTATGGCAACTAGATATACATAAGTCATGCATGGCCTTCAAGCATCTGTACTTTTGTATTGCATCACTGTTGAGATATTCGAGTGGTTAGTACACTATTGGTTGTTGGTAAGTTGCAGTCGCAAGTTTGAATCTGTGTAATGTAATGTAAGGAATTTATTGGTTGTTGGTAAGTATACTCTCGGCATAATGCACTTTATCCTTCATCGGAGAACTCTTTCGTGTAGATTAATGAACTGTTTTCACTATGAACAATTGCATTTTATTGTATATGATCTAACTAATGCTTGAAAAACTATCAGCAACGTTCTCATGTAGCAAGGATGAATGGTTTAATGGTTTGATTAAGTGACGAGATTGTTCTTTGTTGATTACCAAAAGGTTGCAGATATCAAACGGATTAATGGTCTAGTGATGGATCTTCAGATGTTTGCTCACAAATCATTGCTTATTCCTCTTCCTGGAAGGCATCCCCCATCTCCTCCTATTCGATCTAATGGTTTTGTTGATAACAGGTATTTCTCACATACTGCCTGCTACTTATATGAGTGCTGCTTTCTTCATAGGACAAATAACTGTGTTGATCTTAAGACACTACAAAATCTAAATACACCTTTAGATCCTCACTGAGATCCAAGCATTTATCCTATGCTATTAGATGGTCAATCATCTTCTAATAGTATGGTGATAAGTTGATATACATTGAATATATTTGTTTGAGAAATAGGGAAGGGATAACTCTCTCAGTTTTGGTGTTCCTGACTCTCCATGGTTGACTTCAAGTATTTACTTGATTGGAAATCTTTCTAAGCAAAACACATGCTCTATTGCCCCCTCTGTTTCTATTTTCTTTCATGTGAAGGGATCTGTTTTTCGTAATAACCACTATTATTATAATTGGGAGAAATAATATGATATTTTTCTAATTTTTTAGATGTTTTTCTATTGCTGAAACATATTCTATTTTCTTTGTTAAGTTGTTATTGATCCAACTAAACACTATCAAAACTTGAAATATATTTATTTTAGAGGAAATTACATTGCAAGCTGATCATGATGCTATTTATGTTGCTGCTGCAGCTGTGCATTATCTCTTTATCTTTCTTCTACTAAATATATTAGGTCTCTGAAGGAATATGACAACTGCTGATACTTGCATTATCTTTCACATGTCATATTCCTTACCGTGTTGCTTCTGACCTCTGTCAGCAATCGAAGACCTGGTCATGTTGTTGTAACCATTCCTTGATGACTTGTCATTTAAGTCCAAACATTAATCTGCCTATTTATTTGACTTGTTAAAGGATCTGCTTAAGTTCATATCTTGCAATTGTTGCATTCAGGAGCCTAAGAGAGCTACAATGAGTTGCTGAGTTAATTCTTGGTAAAGTTTCCTCCTCAAGAATTTGATATGCATGGAAGGTCCCTTGCATGCGCCTTAAGCCTTTAAGATGCTACATCTTAAATTTGTTTGCATTTTTCAACCAGTGGAACATAGGCAAATTTAAATTCTAAACATGCATGATCAAGACATGAACGAGGGAGACTTGCAGCTTATATGAATATGCAAATTCTTACTTAGTGTTATATTAGTTGCATTTTCTGCATAATATCTTCCGGAAGGGGCAAAACACAGTCAAATCGAAAGAATGCAAATGTCAAAACAAACATCAGGAGCTGAGCATACGGTGGAGTGAATTGTTCTGGTGGCTTTTTGTAATCACGATAAAATAATCGGGTAACATCTAAGTACATTTAATGATACAAATAGCTGGTTTGGATTTTTGTAGATGGGATTAATCGATGTCAAGCGGTTTTATGTAGTGGTCGACATGCTGGTTTCATATAGAGCTTTTTCCTTGATAAGAGGCCTGTGTTTTTATGCACATGATAAGCCTTATTTTTTCTCTTTTAAGCAATTTATATGGTAAAAGCTTCTGTTTTTGCTTAGCCGTTGTAATGTAAAATATTATGGAGTTTTAAGTATTTGTACTCACAGGGATCGGACTCCTATCTGTCGTCCTCAGAGAGATGTCTTAGATTCTCCCCAGCCATTGAAGTCGAAATCCCAACAACATCGTGAAATCTCGTCTGCCATGTGTAGCTTGCGAAGATACTATGATCTTCCACAACATGAAAGGAGTCCTACAGCTGAAGGCACCGAAATGACCTTATACAAAACAGGTGGTGCACTGAACTCCAAAGATGAACCACTTCCTAAAGTGTCACCGGCTTCTAACTCACAGCCTCGGAGGTCAAGAGGTTTCATCAACAGCTTCCTTTCGGAAGAAGGTGACCTTATGCAAGAATTACTAGTCAGTAGATCTGGGGATTCCAGTGATGGTGAGAATTCCAAGACCGATAAGCCTGTCAGGCGGCGTCAGAGAGCCGATGCTGATCCTTTCGGCATCTCCGAGGCAGTTGTCAAGGATGAGAGCCAAAGCCTCCTAGGAAGGATGGTGAGAGGGTTAACCCCAAAGCAGTTGCTAGTGAGTTACAACGATACTGAGTCGGCACGCCAAAGCACAAGTTCATTGGAGGAGTCTCTTGTAGCCAATGGGTTTCTCGCAGTAAGGAAGTCATCAAGCACCCCGAGTTTGCAGGAATCAGAAAATGACTCTGTATGGACCTCTTCTTCTAAATGGACTTCGAAGCCTGATACTGTTACAAGGCCAATTTTCTATGGTCTATCGAAACAGATCAGTGTTTGGAGAAGCAAAGCTGCTCTAGATTGATCATCCCACCATAGAACCTGGCCACAGAAGGCTTAATTTATCCTCTGCTACGGCTGTGAGCAATGTAATAGAAAAGTCCATCTGCTCGCTGTGTGCCACTTTAATCTATAAACTGCTTAAGGCTTACACTACAGTAAGGGGAAACTCCAAAAGTCCGGACATATATGTATTGGACACAGATCTTTCGATTCCATATTGCATGTTTTACATGGACTGGATTTGCCTCGTTGACTCTCTTAAGTAAAAGATGTGGGGGTTCTTCTGCTTCAATTTGTTTGTCGGGGCGCGCACGTTGCATCCATCAATGCGGTTCTTAGGCTTCTGATCGGGTGAGACGGTGACGTCAGAGTCGGCGTGACAGACAAGACAAGATGACTGAGGACCCCACTGGCCCAAGTCTATTGGGAGGTCGGGGTGGTGTGGGGTGCCTGAACCTTATCCATTTGCTTGTATCTTAATAATGCTCATTTACTTTCCTTTTGTATCGCTACCAAACACTTCCGTGATCCAATGCAGCAAGCGTAGCGCTCCAGCAATTTGCACATTTAATATACAAACCAAAGTGTTAGCTCTTGTTGTCAGCAAGATCTTATAATCGACTTTCCACCTCGATCACTTGCCATCACCCAACGTTCATGTAAGTGTTAGGTACCTCTCTGCCTCAGACAAAGGAAATGCTCTCATTGGTACTTCATAGTATATATCTTCTCCCTCCACGTGTCCGAATCTCTTATCTCTCTGTTCAAGTTGTTCCTTGTCGCGAAAGCATCCCCGACGTATCGTAGAGTCCAATTGGAGCCACGTAAATACCAATAATAAACAAGGGTGCATGTGGATCTCTTGAACCAAGGGTGCATGTGGATCTCGTGTTCACGAGATCCTCGAAGAAACGCACCTACAGTACCATCACGAGCACGCCTCCTTTGTCTTTTATATCGTTGTTCATGACAAGCCAATCTCAACTACGTGATGAGCGCCATTCACCCAACTCCGATGGCTCTTCTCATCGTGCTCCTCGCCACCTTCGTCGGCCTCCTCGCTCCGCTTGGTATGGCCAGCACCGACTTCGTCATCTACTCCGACCCGCCCACCGCTCTCCTCCCGGGTCAAAGCTTCCAGTACGACCTCACTCCCCAGGGCATCCCCTACGGCCCCGCCTCCCTCTCCATGAACCACGACTGCGACCTCGTCCTCCGCTTCCACAACCAGAAGACCTGGGCCACCAACACCACCGGCCTCGGCACCGACTGCTACCTCACCGTTGACTCCAACGGCGAAGCCGCCGTTAAGCATGACATGAACTACCCGCTGTGGAGCAGCGGCAAGAAGTCCGTCCAGGGGAGCTACGCCTTCCTTCTGCAGTGGAACGGCGGGCTCGGCATTTACGGGCCCGCCATCTGGTCCAGCTCCAACCCGCCATCACTGCATGACGCCGGCAACGAGCACCCCAACGTCACCACCGACTACGTCTTCTACTCCTACTCGATCTTGCCCATCGGCAAGATCCTCGAGTACAAGAACTACAAGCTGGTCCTGCGAGACGACTGCAACCTGGTGCTAGAGGACACAGCCACCAACGAGATCAGGTGGCAGACCGGCACCAGCAGCCCGCTGCACGACTGCTTCGTCACGCTCGACGCTCAGGGCGAACTCTTCGTCAAGCACAACCGCCGCGACGTCCTGTGGCGGTCCGGCGCGAGATCCACTCCCTTTCTCTACATCGTTGCGCTTCGTTATGATGGAACGCTTGGTGTCTACGGTCCTCAGATTTGGACGACCAAGCCGTTCTGGTAGATCTTAGTGATCAGAGCGGCGGACATGAATGCTGCAGCGACTTTTGCATATGATCCTTGCCGCCGGTTTCAATAAAATCCTAAGCACTGTCCACTGTGTGTTTGACAGATTACCATCAACCACTCAACGACAAGAATGCCACCGGTGGACTCCTTTAACGACGGGAGCGCAGCTATATATATAT